GGGGGGGTTGCGCTGGTGTCTTTCGGAGGGGATAATTGGAGTTAAATATGGTTCTTTAGGTGTCGAAATTTGTAGCCTAATGTAATATCAACATTTGTGAGGCAGCGTGGTTGAATCAGACTCTCGTCAGTTTTTGGTCTTGTAGAGTTATTGGTATAATCTTAAAGCTTATTCACTTGTCTTTATTTGGATGAAAAAAATATCCATTTATCTCGAATACAAGTCAAGATATTTGCGAAAGAAGGAGGTGGGGGTCACCTGTTTTCAGAGGTAAAATTAGGGAGAAAATGGCCGCCAAAGATTAGTTATTCCCTAAGCTTAAGAGTCCATGGTAACTGAAAATTTGCATTTTTGTGCCTTTAATCAACGCTTTTAAAGAAAAATCCACACAGAAATGAGTTCTTTAATGGGCATGAAAAGTGTTGAGCCAAAAAAACAAAAATTTGATAAAAATTCACAAACCTGCCGGGAAATGCAGTTTTCTTCACTTTGATTATTTTGACGAGAGCCTGATTCCACCACGCTGCCTCACATTTGAATGTTAGTCTCTTTGGGGGTTTCGACGTGGATGATATTATCACGTATTGGACTATAATACTTGTGTACGTACGTGACGTCAAAGACGGGCTATGAAACAGTGGACGTTATAATATTATTTCTTAGAAGTGGAAAAAATTAATGACTAGTACCCCTATTAGCTGTCTTGGCTTTGCAGTTTAAACAAAAGATGTCACTATTTTTTTGCCCATATGTCAGGCGTGCTGACAAAATGAGTTACTTCTCGCATTCCACACTTGGAGATTTTTCACAAAAATCGACACTATGGTCAAATTATTAGATTTTCTAATGATGCCATATTCTTTAAGTATTACATGCTTTTTATTATTTCACAATTATAAATTGTAAAAACGTCACCCATAAGAATGATATATCTATTTCCATAGGGTTTGAATCTGAGAAGTAACTCATTTTGTCAGCAGGCTTCACATATTCTTATTTTGCGTAGGTTTTAGATCTTACAAGTTCTGATTTATTTTGTTGTTGTTGTTTATTTAACTGCATGTCAAAATCTAAACATTTGAGATTTCGCTTTTAGACTAAAAATTACGACAATTGTACTAGCTCTATGGCTGCAAAAGTGAAATCAAGAAGTTGTGACCTCGGTGTTTTCTTGTCGTATCTCCAGTTATTATAAGAGTGAAAACAGTTCATAACAAAGAATGAGCTAAAAAATATGTCACATTTTCACTGTTAAAAATTATGGAGATACGACGAAAAAGCACTCAGGTCGCGAAGTAGTGACGGTGTGTTAGTTCAGACTTTCTACAATCGCCCTATCTTGACATTCTATGGATGATTTCAGAAACGGTTAAAGAACGCCCTCGAACGTCTTTGCACACAAAAGATGGGACTTAGATTACATGATTTCAGAATTGGTAAAATCTGTTGATCAAGTATCTTCATCATTCTTTTGGGATGCTGTGTCCTACTCAGCCTGGCTTGACGATGACTGACAGGGTGGAGGAAGCTGACAACCTCCTAAATGTGTCAAACTGTGTTGATGGGGGCGTAAAACATTGTACAAATCAATCCTTCAGTACTCACGTCGGCACCGTCAATAAACTCCATCACGGACTCCTCGCCGTCCAGTAACACAGGCACTATTGTGGTCTCTGTCATATCACCGTCCGCTGGAAATGAACAAGAAAAGAAATAAAGATATTATCATGAGACTAGATCTATGCCTGCCAGATGTAAAAATGTAGTTAGCCACAATTTTTATTTCTTTTTTCATTGCAGTCTCTTAATCTGTGGTATCGGTTGCATATGCTAACAAATATTAATTTTTGTGAAAATTCAAATTCTGAAGGTTGGAAAAAAGCAACAAACAAAAAAAAAAGAAAGAAAGGTACATTTCGTAAAAGAATTAGTTGTTTTCTTCCTTCTCCAGTAAAATGTTGCTATCTGGGGTTAATACATAATTTGAATAACATGCCCGCGACTAAATGACCCCCAAAGCAAACTAATGTCATCGAGCGTCCTGTTTGGGATTCGAGCCATGGTTTTGTATATTGTTGTCCAGTATAATGCCAACAGTGATAAGGCACGCCTTTCAGAACATAAGTTTTTAATGACACAGACCGACTGGAACTGGTGTTGGAGAATGTACGAAAATCAGATTCCTACGTTGATAATGCAGTCGAACCTGCTATAATGATCACATATAGCTTATAAGACAATCAACTGTACAAACGGCCACTCTCTATTTCTCAACGTGTGTATTTTTGTTTCACATTATAATGATAGATACTGTGTAAGACGATCCCCCGTCTAAGACTGCCTTTCTCCTTGTGAATGGTTGTCCGTCTTAGACAGTTTCGTCTGTATTTAAATTAGTATCATATTCAGTGTCTTCGTCTTTCTGTGAGAGTTTCCCCCACACTCTGGGTTGATCCTCAAACATCGGTTCGAGAGTAGACCTGTCTTCTTAATGGCATACATTGGAGCGATAGGAGCATAGAATGTAAAATAAAGAATCCCCAGAGGAAGCCAGACAGGTGTTTGTTGACCCTTGTTTGAATCCTCGACTGCGGATTCTTGACCTTTGGTTATTTATATATCCTCATGTGTTGTGGCTTTCCATCCACTTGGCTCAAATCTGTGGGAGTTGTGACGATAAATGGCACGTCATTGCCCATAAGTAACATTGTTGATTTGAAAGGGGTTGTTTAGCTCGCTACATCTCAACAATTTACCTACCTTTGTTTCTTTCTCTTTAAAGTAAGCTGACCATTCAAAACATCACAGAGACAGAGTCATTATATAGATAACAGAGGAGTAGAATTGACTCTCGTCAGTATACTTGTAGGTGTTTTTTACACCCCGATCGACACAATTTAGATTGGGAGGCGGGCTTCGACCCTTCCGGATACTACGTCCCAGCAGAAAAACTGAGATACTCCATACAAAATTTCTCCACTTGGGATTCGAACTTGGGTCTTCTGCATATAACGGTGAAGCATCTAACCGATACAGAAGCTGGTATACTGTCTCTTATGATCTTTCTGTTCTGACAATATAAACACGGAAGAAAGAAAGAAATAAGAAAGAAAGAAAGAAAGAATTCCCGTTCGCAATCTTAAAGCTTTATATTTCGGTAATAGCAGGAGTACAGACTGCATGAGGTGGCTGAGACTATGCAAGCCAGCTTTGTTATGAAATTTCAGCTGAAAATAGAAACTTCACTCAGAATATGCTGTTACCTGTTCACTCTTACCGGCAGTTTTACAGATGTACTCACTTCTTAAGATAAAAATAGTGTAGATAATGTTGTACACTACAAAACTGTTCACTGTTGTTGAGTAGTTGCACGCACTTTCTATTTTTAAAGGCAGATATTATGTTTGATCAACAGACAAACGTAAACAGATTTTCTTACGGTAAAACTGCTCTAAACTTTTTATGAAAGTTAAAAAGAAAGTACAAAACATAAACGGAAGGCAAGATAGAAAATCTAAATGTTTCCCTTCTGATCAATACACATATTACGTGCGATGAACGTCAAAGTTCAATGGTTCATTTTTGTGAGACATTCCCTTGTTTATTTGTTTCATTCGTTTTTCTTCGAACTTTTAGTGCTCCCCCCCTCCCCTCCCCCCCCCCTTTGTTTTGTGGCAGTGGGAAGGGTCGAGGGTGGCAGAGAGCTGCCTCTAGGGAAAACAAAATCCATCGATCTCAGGTCAGGTTTGTCTTTTTCCAATATAATCGGATACATGAGATATCTTTTTCTCTTTTTTTTTATCAAGAAGAGACGAAATACCATCATCTTGAGCGACTTCGGAAACTTGAAAGTGGATAGGGCGCCTGCAGAAGTTCAAGACTGAGTGGGAGGAGCAGAAGGATATGGAATCAACCATTACTTGGAACCGTCAGCATCTACACACTTCGAGATGTGCTTCTTCAGGGGACGGAGCGCTTATGGGAATGCCCCTTGTGCAGTGATGTCGGTCCTTCACACAACAACAACAACACAACAACATGAGATGTCTGAAGCAAGAGGATATTAAGGAAACTGAGTTTTACAAAGGACTGCATTGTCCGCTCAGTAGGAAGTAAGCTATTCCACCACAACTTAGATTCGATGCCCACTTACCCATCTGATTCTGATCTGTCGGAGGTGGGAGTTATTTCAGAACAGTTTCTTGATTGACCGTCATATGTTTAACCACTTTGCCATCATATTTTGGGGAAATTTTAAAGAAACTGGGTGGTAAACATCGCCAATTGGTGAGATGAGACGCAAATTGTTAAAAAGGTGATGAGGGTTGCGTAGACGACTAAATAATAATACATTTTGTGTATCGATGGCTTATTCGTCTTGTTCACATCACCAGCATAATGCGACTTTTTGAAGTCCTAAAAGAGATTGCCGTACTTTGAAACCAGATTATCATTTCATTCTTTTTTAAATCCTTTCTTTTTAGAACTCAATATTAATACATTTTATGCCATATCATCTTTCACTCCTAGGAGCTTGTGGTACGCCTGGACATAATCATTTTAAAGCGTTATACAGCGGAATTAGCTGAAATGCTTTAAACTACTACACAGTGAAGTTCTTCTCTATCCACACTCTTTGTACCGAGCAAGGGAGATCATTCCATTTTCTCAGACTTGCCTTTCTTCAGTTTCTGCTTTCCTTTGGGAAGCGCCCAAGTTTCTAAATTCAGGTTATCTTCCTTGATCTCTGAACGCAGAGACGGATAGCGGGCCGTGAGCATGTTCTGCGTCGACGGCTTTTCTAAATGACCAAAGAGTTGCTATCTCTGCACTCTATTGTTGCTCCTTACCTGGATAGCGATCTAGGCTGTAGCCAGCGCTAGGGTGTAGCCAGTTCTTTGATTAGCTCAGCCACGGGGCCGGATTATCCCTCCCCCCACTCACTGTAATGGATGCAAACTACCTTTGTGGGAAACGCTCTCTCTCTCTCTCTCTCTCTCTCTCTCTCTCTCTCTCTCTCTCTCTCTCACGCACACACTTACACACTCACCAGTGAGAGAGAGAGAGAGAGAGAGAGAGAGAGAGAGAGAGAGAGTGAGAGAGAGAGAGAGAGAGAAAGAGAGACAGACAGACAGACAGACAGACAGACAGACAGACAGACAGACAGACAGACGGACTCAAAAATGCACAAGTAGGTAAAAACGACCACTTCCCACCTTCACCTCTAACTTAGAGTCTAAGCTCCCACTTCCTTTCCCTTTCATGTGTGTCTATAACGAATCATGATGATTCTAACCAAGAGTCACAATATGACGCTATTTTCCTCGACAATGTGTGGACGGCCTAGACGGGTTGGACTGTAATGATAAAATGTATCGGAGACAAACTGTTTCCGCACTACCCGTCAGAACCAATATAATGAGCTCAATTTTGGCTACCGTTGGGATTATATAAGTAAGACTTTTTTCCCTCTCATTACCGGTACCGAAACCAAAGAAAAGAGATCCAAGACAATCTTGCAGGTCGGAAAATTGTGTGGCTAATTTGCCGGAACTGATAAGTCAGCCGACGTTTTTTGGGGTGTCTGGTGTTCTAAATATATACATGAAAAAGTCCTCTTTACTCACGCACACACACACCCCCCCCCCCCCCCCCCACACACACACACATACAGAGAGAGAGAGAGGGAGAGAGAGAGAGAGACAACGAGAGACAGCCAGACAGACAGACAGACAGACAGACAGACAGACAGACAGACAGACAGACAGACAGACAGACAGACAGACATCTATATTTGTGTGTGAGTGTGTGTGTGTGTGTGTGTGTGTGTGTGTGTGTGTGTGTGTATGCAAACGCCATTTAATACTTAGTATTAATTGAACTATTTTTCAACAGTAGTGCAATGATACTACATCAGCTCCATAATCTATTATATGTTTGGCGTTATGAATACTTGTGTAGACAGCATGGAGGTACCTGCGTCACTTAGGCGTACCTGAACTCCCACACACTCCTTATGGCAGATGTAGGTTAACGAAACTGTTTTGGTCGGTTCATACATATTATATGTGCGTGTGCGTGTGTGTGTGTGGGGGGGGGCGGTGTATAATAATAATACTAATAATAATGATAATAATAATAATAATAATAATAATAAAAGAATAATAATAATAATAATAATAATAATAATAATAATAAAAAATAATAAAGATAATAATAATAATGACAATAAAAGAATTATAAAGATAATAATAATAATAATAATAATAATAATAATAATAATAATAATAATAATAATAATAGTAATAATAATAATAATAATAATAATAATAATATAATGTATGTATTGAAACAATCAAGTCTTATATTTTCACTCCACGCAGTATTTTTGTATTTTTTCAAACACTGCTTCAGATGGCATTTTATTTTACAAATTGAAATAATCAGTTGTGGACGTCTGCTGTTTATTCCATACGGATTTACGTTTTCATTCTTGAGCTTCGCATCGTTCTAGCTCTCTTTACCTTTTCTTTTCGGTCAACGCCCCGACAGTTCAAGAAGCTGTAATGACAGCTGAACTCCTGGCAGTTTGCTAATCTTGTTTTGACGTACTGGCTTCGAATTAATGTTTTTCTAAAAAGAAGTGGCAGAATGTTATCAACATATTATTATTATTATTGAAATAAGCGGA